AAAGCAGGGTGATGGAAACCCAGCTACATACATTACTGAGAATATACTGTATATTTGTAAACAACAAAGAATATGTATTAATCTTTTATAAATACAGTTTCTTAACCAAATTTGTGTAACCCAAAACCTAGATTATTTGATTATACATATAGAACTGATCATTTTTTTTTAATCCACAGAGTTTAAGAGGATGATCTTACATGCAGGTACAATGTGTGATATGCACAGATCTCTCACTTTCACAAACAATAAACTCATAAACTCACTAAACTCTTAAAATACATCAAAATCTGAAGATGTCATTCATATTTTCTGATCTCTCTCAGTGGATGTGACTCTGGATCCTGATACGGCTCATCCAAATCTCATCCTGTCTGATGATGGAAAACAAGTGAGCTTTGGAGACATTAAGCGTGAAGTCCCGGACAACCCGGAGAGATTTGATCAATGTGTCATTGTACTGGGAAAGGAGGGATTCTCTGCAGGAAGTTTTATTTTGAGGTGCAAGTGAAGAGGAAGACTGAATGGGATTTAGGAGTGGCCAGAGAATCTGTCATAAGGAAAGGAGACATTACACTAAGTCCTCAAAATGGATACTGGGCTATATGGCCGAGGAATGGGAATGAATTTGAAGCACTTGCAAATTCCCCAGTCTTACTCTCTCTGAGAGTGAAGCCCCAGAAGGTCGGGGTGTTTGTGGATTATGAGGAAGTTCTGGTTTCCTTTTATGACGTGGAGGCAAGGTCTCATATCTACTCTTTCACTGACCAGACATTTACTGGGAAACTTTATCCATATTTTAGCCCACTGACAAATGAAGATGGTACAAACTCAAGCCCACTGATAATCCTACCTGTCAATTACATTGAATGAATGTTAACCTATATATGAAAACAAAAAATAAATATTACAGGAACAACCTGCTCTGCTTCGGTTTACATGATTAAACACTGATGCATTGGCATTCAAAAAACCCAGTCTGCTTCTGCATCTGGATTGTTGTGTACACGGACAAGTGGAGTAATACAAACACTGACACATCCCTGAGCTGTTACTAACATGAATGTTTTTGTTTTTACCCATCTCCACCTGTGAAAGTAAAATTACATGTAAAATGTTGTGACTATGTGGATTAGATGAGATTAAATGATGTCTGGTCTGTAGAACTGCAGAATACGCTGACAATATTTCATCTTCCATACTGTAAATCTATTCCCTGAATTACACTTGTTAACTGTGTTGGTTTGTATTGACATGATCAGTATGTATACAAATGAACACTGGATAATTAGCAAAATCACAAATGCAATTCCTTTATTAAAACAGGGTCAGTGAGCTTAGCTACACTTCTACTTCAAAGACAGTACAAAAATTGGCATGATTTTCAACACTTTGTCAATTACAAATCTGTACACAATACATAATCAAAGCATAATTATCATTTTGCTATGGCCAGTACAGAAAAAAATCAAGCATGAAGTTATTATATTTACAACTAAAATGACCAAATCAAAAGGACATCGAATGCATAAATCATTGACACAATCATCACTGGCTAACAAGCGGTTTCAGACAGAAGGTGAAAAAACAAAGAAAAAGGTTCACACAGGGTTCAAAAATTATTTACATTTAAAACAATCGGCATGAGATGGAGTTTATAACTCAGAACATATAATAATGGAGATGACGAATATATTCCCTTTCTCTCAAACACACAATCACTATTGAAGCCCGATCAATGTCAAACTACACAGAACAGATCAGAAGTTACACAGTGAACTAAGGGCTCATTCACAAACATTTGGGGCATTAATGATCTGCCAATATTCTGTGTGCTTTATAAGTCTCAGCTGACACTACAGATCTGGTTGAATGTTGGCCTGATAGTTGTGCCTGAAAGTTTGAAGGTTCACTAGAAGTTGAAGTCTTATGTAGCTAGTCCAGTATATTAGCCGAGTATAAGGTGTTCGGTTGACGTAGAATGAAAACTCAGGAAATACAGTTAGAAACTTTCCATTAAAATCTATAGGATATTTAATTGTCTTAGGAAATCAAGTAAGTCGAGTTAGAAAGGAAGTGAGAACAGTCTGAAGGACTGTGATGGGTCTGCTGGATGTAGTTTGAACGCTCTAGGATGAGTTAACCTAGGTGTGTACAGTATAATAGTACATTACATTGGCTTTGTCAAGGCAACATAATAAAAGGTTTAACACAATGCTTTGTATATAAAAGTAATGGGAAAGTCGTGTCCATTATGACGTACATGAAACCGGAGCTGCACGCACTTTCTAAGAAATTAATACCACATATTCAAACTTCACTCAAATGAATCACACCAAAATAAGAACTATGTATGATCAGTTTGAAAATATTTACATATTCAAAAACTCTTCCTTTGCACAAAGGCACGAGTGCATTAACATTTAATCTTTTTAAATAACACAAACATGAAAACATGCATTCTAAGTGCTGAGGAATTCCTCAAATTTGCCATTTAAAAAAAAAAAAACTGAATTTGGCTAAACAAACAATATGGCTGAACAAACAACTCCATTACAATAAAAATCCATTTTATGCAGGTCAACGGGAGTGTGTGTCCTTAAAACATCCTCATCATGGAGGTTTGAGCTAAACTGTCAGCAGATGTGGAGGAATAATAAGAGTCAGGATTCAGCGGGATAAACAGAATGATGCCCTGAACTCAGAGCCAATCTTCTGACGGGGATTTTGAGAGGAAATCTTGATTCTCAATCCCTCTCCATGCATAAGTCTTGGAGTGCTGGTTAAGTGGGATTACAGGGGAGGTCATAGGGATCAGAAGATTCAGAGTTTGCTGAAAATATCAGGGATTTGGGACCAACAATGTTGGTGCAAGCTGCAGAGAGCAGGACTGAGAGCTTGATCTCGATGACATAAATAGATATTCATAAGCAACTAAATAAAAACAATACAAGACAAAACAAAACCATAACGTTTTTAGAGAAGCTTCAAGCACAAAGTACACAAGTTGTTATAACCTACTCTGAAACAGACCAAAAATGCAATCCAAAAATTAACACGGTAATGAGGTTACACATTGAATAGCTTCCATTTTAAATAGCAACATCACATAAATTAAGGTTAATTAATGTAATCTAGAGTGGCGCTTCTAGTGATTCATTTTTGAGTCAGTCAATTCCTGACTTTAAAATAAGGTTTAAATAATGTACATAACAGGCTTGTAGGACATTGAGAACAAGGCACACCAAGAACATAAGGGAAACTGAGCTCAGTTTATGACCCTAAGCAAAGCCCTAAATATTATGTTTGGCCACAGCAAAAGTTTCCATATCAATGACATCACCGTCCACTTCATCAGGCCAGTGTTTCGCTTGTGTCTCTTCTTATTTAAACTCTGACACTGGCTTGCATCAAGACCCAAGCCCATGGGGTTTAAACGTCAGTTCTCATTAAAGCCTAACTGGAGGGTAGAGACCGTTCCAACCACATCAGGACTAGATCAAAAGCTCGCTTTTCCCAGAAGGCTCTTCGGCAAAGTCTTAGCAAATACTCATTCTCTGGATTCAAAGTCGCAGACTCCACAGTCTCTCTGCTGAGATTTATCTATCCCTGTCGATAAAGAGAGAGCAGGATGATACTAAAGTGATTCCTGTGATGGCTAGGTGACAGAGATAGAGCGCTAGATGATCTTATTGACTTCATTTGAGCTCAAAGCTTTTTGCAGCGCAAGAATTGAGTCTCTTCTACAAAAGAGCACTTCAGTTAGAGACAAAAGAGCTTAATCTGAACAAATTTGTCTTTAAAAAGGTAGAAAACAACATTAACATAAATACACTAGTCAATCAGTTAACAGAGATTTCCAGCTAAATTAAAGGGGGAAATCTAGAAAAAGCACAGAAGGAACTCATTGCCTACTGGCTTAGATTCCTGGAGTTGAACACTGAGCATTAAATCTGCATTTCAGCTTAGCAACAAAAAACTCCTTCTCTCACCTGAGTATTTCTTACTGTATAACTATTACCAGAAACCTTGGCGAAAGGGACAGTGGGCAGGACAGCACAATAAACACTTGGCAGATAGGTATGACTGAGCTAAAACATACACGTTTGACATAGACGGTTGAGTTGTTGACTACAGATGTTGTTATTCTGCTTCATTATAAAGGTACTGGCTGTGGGGAATGGGGATGCTTAAAGGTGGAGGTGTTTGTGTCAGGAGTCCTGCCATATACCATAGCTGAGCTAAAAATAAAAATAACCAGGGTCCAGATTAACTGACGGGTGAATTGAGAATGTTTTATGGCCATAAATATTTCTTACAAGCAAAGAAACTGCATTCTGCTGTTCTGATGACAATATAGTTGTTTTCCTTTTGAATATTCAACAATTACTGCAGGTAATTTCACAAAAAAATTGCCCCGTTGAAGGTCAATAAATTATCAGCCAAATTTGCTATTAATTGTATTAACTTAGACCCTAAAATATACTTTTAATATAATACATTATCTAAAAAGGTCTTAAATCGAGCCCCCAGTTGTGGTTTACAGCACAATTCAATGTTATTGATGCTCTACATAATACATTCACTCACAGAAATAATTGAAAATGCTACAGTAAATAAAATCCAATATGGGATTGAGTATGATGATGCAGATAATACTTGGTTTATATTATATACTGCTGTTCAAAAGCTCAGGATCAGTATAATTTTTTTTTTTTTTAATTTAAGAAATTGGTACTTTTGAGCAAAGATGCACTAAATTGATGAAAGACTTGTACATTGTAACAAAAAATATATTTTTTTTATATTCATCAAAGAATTCCACAAAAATATTATGCAACAACTGTTTTTAACATTGCAAGAAATGTTTCTTGAGCACCAAATTAGGATGATTTCTGAAGGATCGTGTGACATTGATGATTGCAGTAATGGCTGCTGAAAAGTCAGCTTTGCCATCATAGAAAAAAAAAAAAATGTAAATGTTAAAATAGAAGACAATACTGTTTGTATGTTTGTAAAATCTTACCAACGCCAAAATTTTGAACAGTAGTGTATACATACAAACCAACCAGTAATGATATAATATATATGGAATAAATACCATACAGGAATTTGCTTGGCACATCTTTAAAGAAACCATTGGTGAGCAAATTCATCCTCAGAAAAGTCCATGTGTTCTGATTAAACACTGAGCAAAAAAAGCCTTATTCAGAGACATTCTTTCATGGTTATAAAAGTCATGGCACAGTGTTGTAGAGTGGACAGCTTGGCCACATCTCTTAACAAAGACTCGCATGAGCACCAGGCAGCTGAAACTGTAAACAAACTACTAACAAACCTCCTAAAATCCCTTCTGAAGGCTGGAGGAGGCCGTATCTGTGGTGTCCGCACTCATGTTTTGTTGGGGTGTTGCTTTGGCTGTTTTGTGTCGTGTTGAGCTGATATATTTTTGGGGTAGCAAGGAGGAGGAGTAGCGGACGGCGGATGACAGAATTCCTTGATCGTTACGGTGAGGAGGTTAGCTGTGATGTCCGTGACGACCACATTGGCACATTGGGAGGTCATGTCAGGACGCCAGTCCAAATCTTCCTCTTCCTCCGACGGTTCCTCCGACACGGGCACCTCTGGGACCTTGAGCGGATGACGGCCAGAGAAGGGATGGCGTCGCCGCAATCGCCTGTCCATTTCATGAGGTACGGAAAGGTCCAGGATGTGTTCGTTGTCTTCTGAGGATGACGAGGCAGAGGACGATGAGGAAAACATAGGAGAAGATGGAAGAGCAGAAGGACCCGAGCTGTTTTTGGATGCTACAGGTTGAGCGCTGAGTTTGTGAAGGGCAGGATCTTGGGCCTTGGTTGCGGAGGCCTTGGGCGGCAATGAGGAATGCTGGGATTGGGTTTGTGGCGGGGAGGGTGGCTCACCATCTGAAACTTCCGAGCTTGAGTTTGACGGGGGCAGTTCATCAAGAGTCTGACCTTTGGACACGTCCACCTTTGAATTTTGGGAGGAAGAGAGATTGTTTGTTGTGTTATTACGACTCTCTCCACTTTGAGTCTGGTTCTCGGCATTGCTCAGGGAGTGAGAATCGTAGAGTTTTCCGAAAACAGGAAACCCAGAGCTTCTAATGGTGGGCTGGATTCCTCGGTAGGACACCTCTCCAAACCGCCTGTTTTTCCCAATCACCCTGTTCCGGGACGGAATCTTCTGCCGCCCAAAATGGGACTGCTGGGTGGAGGGCATGTGTGTCCTTCTACTATTAGCAACTCCGCCATTCCCAGCCTTGTCAACCACTTTGAGGTTCAGAATGACCCGTCCTTTCTTTACTTCCCTGGGTTTGACTTTACGATTGAGAATGCGGACCGTTTCTGAGAAAGGACTGACTGTCGGACGGGACGAAAAAGGACTGGAGGGACCGACTGTCTGGTCTGGGCGGGGCAAGGGCCGACGTGCCATGCGATGGCAGCGGTGAATGTCTTTCTTCAGTTTGGGCTGAGCGGTGCCCGATTGCAGTTTAGCGTTGGAAGGTGCGGTTGGGGTGTAGGACGGTGCAGCCGAGGGCGGAGGAAGCTTGGAATGCTGCTGAGGACGAGTGTGCTTGAACTCCGGGACTCTTGATGAAGTCTCTGCAACCTGCGCTCTTGACTAAATAATTGGAAAAAGCCAAAAATTATTCACTTATTAAAGGTTTAGTTTACCAAAAAATTAAAATTCTGTCATTATTCACTCACTCTCATGTCGTTCAAAACAAATAAGACTTTTGTTTATCTTCGAAACACAAATGAAGATATTTTTGTCCTTCTATTTAAAGTCCATTCACCCAAAAACGTACATACTTGACACGCAAGAACCAATGAGGTTTGTTTTTGAGAGTCATGCAAGAATGTCTGAGCTTTTGCAAGAACCAATGAGGTTTGTTTTTGAGAATCACGTAAGAATGTTTGAGCTTTTTTTTCAAAAAAACCAATGAGGTTTGTTTTTGAGAGTCACGTAAGAATGTTTGAGCTTTTTTTCCAAAAAACCAATGAGGTTTGTTTTTGAGAGTCATGTAAGAATGTTTGAGCTTTCACAAGAACCAATGAGGATGCGTGCAAAGCAAGAATGTTCAAGCTTCCGTTTGCTATATTTTATGTGCTGTGTATGTGCTTTGATCAGTGTGTATATGTAAATTAAAGCCTAAATTAAATCTGTTCAAAGCAAACTTCATAAGATTTGGATTAAACTGCTTGATTCCTATGAATATCTTTGCAATCTCTTTATGAACATCAAACTTGTGCTTGCATTGACTAGAGGTGTGCATTCCCACCTGACCTGATACAAGTGTGGGCAGAACATGTTTTGAATTTCTGATACTGAGGGGTGTGTGGGAAGCTGGAGAAATAAATGACTCATGGGACAATCGCAAAATATAAATATCTAAATAAAAAATGCTCACTGATTTCCATGGAAGAATATTCAGGACTTTTTTCAAAAGCAATTGCAAATTGTATTTTCAATTGCGTTTTCCACATGTGGGCGCATAAATTGTGACATAATCCAAATGCAATTGCAAATCTTGCATTACCGTTTGCATTTTCGCTTTCGCGAACGCACAGTGACTGCCACATTTCAAAGGAAAACGCAAAGTCCGTTTGCAACTGTATTTCCCATGTCTTATGAGTTATGAGCCTGTCATATTTAAATAGCAATATTAATTATTACATTTGCTTTTTCACTCTCTCTGCGTCGTGCATGTAACCTGCCAAAACTCAAATGAAATTGCAATTCCTTTTGCATTTGAATTTCCGATGTCTACACGGAAAGCTGTCAATCAATGTGAGGGGGCGGGACTATACTAGGGGGCGTGTTTGTATTGGGAGGTGACGTCACTCACAGACGACCGTGCCGAATCTTTGATCAATTGAGGTAATCGGTAAAGGCTCTGCTAAAGGCAGCTGCTAATCAGTTAGTACCTGTGTCAACGAACAGACAATTTCTTGGCACAATACATAATTCTGTCTTTTTTACCCCAAATGCAGCGATTATCCCCTGCTAACAGCGGGATCAACAACGGTACGCACGATAGGTCTATATTCACTATTACCCAAACGCTTTTCACCTGTCTCAACATCTAGTAGGTTGACAATGATGTCGCTGATTAGAATTTGCAATAAATAACTTTATTGCACATATAGGCTAATTAGAAAGGTATTGAACGCGGGGAAATGTGTGAATGTTGTGAATGTGCGAATATAAAACCAACTGTACCCAAGTCATTTCTCCCTGTTTCTCTCACTCCGATTGATGCAAGTAAACAGACAGTATTATTACAGTACATTTTATTCCTTTCGTTTAATCTGTAAAAGAGCGCGTCACACCTGCCTCAATATTTTGTACTGTTTGAAAAAAAAAAAACAGTGCCAATCTATATTTATTTACCCATTTTCCACCTTATATACTTGATATTATTTCATATTTTAACAGTTTTAATCCGTTATGGAGCACGCGTCCCGTGGACCGTGGCACCAAAGCGCCGCGCAAGTCTCAGATCTCTCACTGTGTACAGCCACCGGACACTGCGACTGATGCACATGGTTTTTAATATTAATTCACTTTGGCTGCGGCATGTTCTGTGACAGCAACGCCTAGATCGTTGGTGTAAAGTGAAGACTCATCTAGGGCAGGAGTAGGAGTAGCAGCATTGTCTTTTTTGTCACGTGCATCAATTGGAGTGTAAACAGACTGAGAGATCTTGAGGCAGGTGCTCTATTATAAGATAGGAATAAGATATAGGTGACAAATAGGTAAATACGTGCAGATTTGCACTGTCTGTTTGTTTATGTGCCTCAATCGGAGTGCAAACAGTAAAAGATCTTGAGGCAGGTGACACGCTCTCTATTACTACGGAAGTTCTAAGCAGCCATGCATTTTTTTCCTTCTTGTTTTCTCGTGATCACGACTTAATTTTCTCACGAACTCAACATAACAAAAGTTGTTCTCTAAGTTACACAACTGCGCCAGCAGGTGGCAGTATACAACTACTGCTGGGGAGTTGTATACTGTATATCCACTATAGCTGTACGCGTTTGGTACAGAGGACCTTCTTCGTGATCGCTATAATTTATGCAGTTCATTACTGACATTTAATTAAACTTATAAATGTTTAATACTTGAATAAATATGATCATTTTGCTTGAAATTGTATATGTTTTTGTTACGTTATTACTGCTGCACGACTCATCACAGTTTCTCATTTACAACTACGTAAATTATGTGCATCTTTCTTATTTTTATTATTTATTCCACTATAGCTGTACGCGTTTGGTACAGAGGACCTTCTTCGTGATCGCTATAATTTATGCAGTTCATTACTGACATTTAATTAAACTTATAAATGTTTAATACTTGAATAAATATGATCATTTTGCTTGAAATTGTATATGTTTTTGTTACGTTATTACTGCTGCACGACTCATCACAGTTTCTCATTTACAACGACGTATTTGTAATGTGCATCTTTCTTATTTTTAATCTTTATTGTTAATAAATGTATATTAATAAGAAATGTGATTTGCATATGTGTATAATTTAGTTCTGTGAAGTTATACAGTGTTGTAGCCTAATCTTTTGTATTTTCTACATTTGTAGGAAACCATAAGTGTATAAATTGCGCTGTCTGTTTACTTGCATCAATCAGAGTGAGAGAAACAGGGGCTGTGTCCGAACTCGCCCCCTATACCCTCATTCACTATTCCCTATATTAGGTCACTAATTCAGTTCACTAGAAGGAGTGAATGAAAACGAGTAGTGAATTCGGACACTGAGTGCACCGGAAGGAATGTTGCTTTTATGCTGTATGCCATGGATGAGCGCTTTGTAAAAATGAACGGATTCATTATTCAGCTGCGGGCGCCATCTTCTGGCGAGATGCGGGAATTCATTCGGCGCGTGACTCTCATGGTGCATTATGGGCATTCTCTAGCCGTTGAGCGTGCACCAATCGTACACTCGTTTTTGCAGTGCATTGTGGGATTGAATGAGTGCACTCGAGAACGTCCACTATGGTTTCGGACACCACTAAAAATGGCTGTTCCCTCAAATAGTGCCCTATTTAAGGGTATAGGGGGCGATTTCGGACACAGCCAGGGAGAGATGTTGAGACAGGTGAAAAGCGTTTGGGTAATAGTGAATATTGACCTATCGTGCGTACCGTTGTTGATCCCGCTGTTAGCAGGGGATAATTGCTGCATTTAGGGTAAAAAAGACAGAATTATGCATTGTGCCAAGAAATTGTCTGTTCGTTGACACAGGTACTAACTGATTAGCAGCTGCCTTTAGCAGAGCCTTTACCGATTACCTCAATTGATCAAAGATTCGGCACGGTCGTCTGTGAGTGACGTCACCTCCCAATACAAACACGCCCCCTAGTATAGTCCCGCCCCCTCACATTGATTGACAGCTTTCGGTGTAGACATCGGAAATTCAAATGCAAAAGAAATTGCAATTCCATTTGAGTTTTGGCAGGTTACATGCACGACGCAGAGAGAGTGAAAAAGCAAATGTGGTAATTAATATTGCTATTTAAATTTGACAGGCTCATAACTCGTAAGACATGGGAAATACAGTTGCAAACGGACTTTGCTTTTTCATTTGAAATGTGGCAGTCACTGTGCGTTCGCGAAAGCGAAAATGCAAACGGTAATACAAGATTTGTTTTTTTTTTGCAATTTATTCAATTTATGCGCCCACATGTGGAAAACGCAATTGAAAATACAATTTGCAATTGCTTTTGAAAAAAGTCCTGAATATTCTTCCATACATTTCGGGTTGTATATGACAGCAATGGAAAGAGCCTTGCTTTTGCCTGCAGCAACAAGGTCAGAATCACGTGTGTGCGAACTGGGTAAAAAAAACCTACGACACCTGAGGGAGAGAGAATCATACTGAAACAGGACTGAAATGTCCACGTAGATCTCTGCATGTGGGGTAAGTGGGAAGAAACTTATTTTTAGCAGAAAATGAAAAATTATTATAGTCGACTTTCATTGGAGGGACAGAAATTTGACTGGTTTAATTAAAAATACCTCAATTTGTGTTTAGAAGATAACCTTAAAAGTCTTATGGATTGGGAATGACAGAATGGGAATGATGACAGAATTTAAATTTTGGGATCATTTTTAATATTTTAAAAGCATATTTCCAAAACAAGTTAACTAGATGAATTTGCACACCATAAAATACATTTATTTTCAGTCAGTTGGTATTGCTGACGTACCTTCAGAAGCAACGTTTTAGGTTTCGGGCCTCTCTTTTTAGGTCCATACATCTCCTGCTCCCGCTCTCTGTGTAAAAATGCGAGTTGTTAAAAGGGTTTGTGATTATGTCAGTGTTTGCACTGTTTGTGCCAGTTTCAAACATCCTCTTGAGCAAAAGCATGACTACAAAGTTTTACTTCAGACTGTGACTTGAGTATTCATGTGATGTGGCTGCAGATGTCTGTGTGAATGCTTCCTGTGGGTATGCAGGAAAGAGTCCTTCAGAGATCTAGCTCTGAATCAGGGAGACCACTTCAAACAGAAGCGCCAACTGTCACAAACGAATTTAACGCTCATGATCGCATGAGTTGATATTTTGTAGAAGTCAATTTCCTTTAAATATGTTAATCAGGAGCAAAAATCATCAACACACAACTCACTTTTGTTCAAATGCTGCAACGAGTCGCTCATCTAGGATGTTCTCCTCAGGTTCCCATGTGCTGTACCTGCAAAATATACAGACTTATTAGATATACAATAAGTATAATATCCATGACTTATTAGATATACAAAACTTAACTAATTAATCAAATTTCTGTTCACTTACTTTATTGCCCATCCTTTCCATTTCACTAGGTACTCCATCCGTCCCTATAGAAAAGACAAAAGACAGATCAGATTCAGTTCCCAACATTTCTGGAAGATATCTTTTATTGACAGAATATTTCATCAAGATCAATCTGTCATTATTTACTCTCTTTCCTGCGGTTATTAAACCATAGGCTGCTATTTTTTAATGAAACACGTGAATAGATATTCTTTAAGAATCTTTACTCAGCTTGTTCTATACAGATGATGCGTTAGAGTTTAAAAACGCAGCGTAAATATATCATACAACTAAAAGTAGTCCATATCCATTCATCCTTCAAACCGCTTGTCCTATTTAGGGTTGTGAATTAGTCAATATGACAAAACTAATTTAAGACTCTAGAGGACTTGAGATATACTCATGTGGACCACTTTTAAGATGCCTTTTACATTGTATGGGAAAATTATTCTTCAGTTCCACTGAAGAAAGTAAGTCATGTAATCTTGGAAGAGAGTAAATGTTGACAAAAACGCCCCAAATTAGGTATCGAAAAAGTTATTTCATGTATTTAGTATCAGGGGATGCTGGTCATTTGACAACCAACATTTTGTTCCGTAACGTTACCGTCCCTGAAAAAAATCGCCGGTCGCACTGAAAACAAAAACAAACAGCAAGTTGAACGCAATAACGAGTGGTTGCTACGCGACGCGACGCACAGATAGGCTATAGAACGTAAACATTCCATTATAAATTTGCGAAACTATCATCCTGCAGACGCGCGAAATGCGCGGTTTGATTAATTATAACGCACTGTAAAGAGCTCCTCAGCTTAAGCTATAGTGCTAGCGTTCTAGTTGGGTAGCGTCGCGTCGCGTCGCACGCCTGCAGTGTCCATGGGGTGTCAGACGACCCGGCCTTTGTCAAAAATTTGCACTCCGGGCAGACACAAAAAAGCTAACGCGCTAACAGCACCAGCTCCAGCTGGCGCCGCTCCAAGCTAAACGACCTTACACAATACACGGAGCTAAAAAAATGAGCAACTGTCAAATTAGTGCCCTAAAAATGAATGCATACACAGCTGCGCGTAATACGAGCGGTTTTATGGTTGCATAGGAAAGCATGGTGCTCTGTTCAGTTCAGTGCACTGCGCTCGGTCTGTAGGGCTGAAGTTTAGTGCGTCTGTAGGCCGCAGTGAAAGGAAATAAAACGAGTTTTCATAATAAACACACTGACCTTACGGATGCGGCGCTTCAGGATGGCCTCAGCGGCAAACACTCGGTCCCCTGCCGCAGACAGCTCCATCTTTAGTGGGACAGCAGAGACGGGTTCTTCCGCGAAAGCAATGGAGAGATCCTGCGCCGTGGAGGAGTGAACCAAACACACGCGCGCGCGCGCCTCGAACACAGCGGCCCATGCAAGAATGCACTGGTCTACAGATAATAGACATTAGAGGAAAAAGAGGAAGAAGAACAATGTTCTTCAAAGAACATATCTATCTATCTATCTATCTATCTACATAAATATTAGTGTACTTAATGTATAATTTGTTTTTATATTAAATTTGATTTAAAATAATGATATATCATTTTTAATATTTCATATCTATGTACTACATAAATATTAGTATACGTTGTATGTACAATTTATATGTAATTTTATTAAAGATTTATTATTATTATTATTATTATTATTATATGAATAATTATCTATCTATAGATATAATTATCTATATAATTGTACTATCTATCTATCCATCCATCCATCCATCCATATATATATATATATATAATCAGTAGGCCTATACTTAATATTTATAGTTTTTTTTATTATTATTATATTTTACACATTTCAAAATCATAGGGGTAATGACAGAAATGAGAGTTGTTGTTAAAGAATATAATTGTTTTCCAAGCCCACGCAAGTGTATATAAAACACTTGTTTGGGTCTGAATGAAAAAGAGCCAATTGCATACATGTAAAGGTAAAGGCTTTATCAAAGGTTTCTGATCATTCACTGCACTGAGAAAAATGCAAAAATATTGGCAATTCAAAACCAGGCCTGTCTCCTATCGCAGGTGTGCAGTGTTTACGGAAGGTGTCTAACCTCAGTCGCACTTTTATTACTCTGCACTGTTCAATAATTCACAGGCCACACGGGTGACAATAGCTCACTGTTTCCCTCTCTCTCTCTCTCTCTCTCTCTCTCTCTTTCTCTCTTGTTTCCCTCTCTCTCTCTCTCTCTCTCTCTCTCTCTCTCTCTCACAAACACAAACACACTCACAAACGTGACGAGACAGGAGAGGACACAAGAGACAAGGGGGAGACAGCAGTGGGTCATCTGTCAGTCTGTTTGTTTGTTGTTTAGTCAGTGGATGTTGTTTATTTGTTTGTTGTACCACGGTGTCAGATCAGGATGTCAGGACAAAACAGTGATCAACTGCACCGCACCACTCTGGCCATTTATACGGTAAGCCTGAAGCCTCTCTCTACTAAGTGTGAATGATACACAATCACATGTACCTGTATTAACTGAGTAGAAAAAGATTAATAAAGTACATGGACATTCATTTACATTTATAAGAAATTTGTTGCCTGTATGTTTTTAAAAATGTAATTCAGAAATAATAATTAAAAATAATTATTACATTGTTACAGCATGAAGCATAATTGTGTGTGTGTATATATATATATATATATATATATATATGTGTGTGTGTGTGTGTGTGTGTGTTCTAGAAATGATAAAAAATTAAAATTATTAAAAATGATAGAGTTTAATGATATAATGTAAAATATTACAAAGTTATTGTACATTTTATATAGAGAAAATACTATATATATATGTATATATATAAATCAGTATTTTTCAAAAGTGATTTTAGATATAGACCATTTTGTTGTGACAAAAAAAAAAAGGTAACAGATTGATGTGGAGTGACAATATGTGTTGACATTTGATCTGTTATCGGACTCTCATTCTTACACTGTTTGTCCATCCACTCAGAGCATAATGGAGCAGTTCAACCCAGGTCTGCAGAGACTGGCAGCACTGGGAAACAACTACATTCAGGCTTTCCAAGGCAAGTCAATTTGAGAAAGAATGAATGCAGTAGATGGTAAGACTGAAAAAGCTGAAAGGAGGAAGAAGGAAAGCAAAGTGGTTGAACTTTGGCCTGCTGGATGTCATTTATGATAATAAGTCAGCATTGCTGCAGCGTCATTGGCTGATTCAACATCATTGTTTAATGACTGTCTATTTTATGAGTCTTGAGTTTCACTAACTCACTAACTGGCTGTACTTGTGAAAGACTTTAATCTTTTGAAAGATGACAATCAAACAGTGTTCTATAAGTTTGATAATGATCTTTCAACAAAATATCGATATAAAATATCTTTCAAAAAAATAACTTTTTTTTTTAATATTGTTTTTGGTGATCGGAGAATGAATATTTGACTTGATATCAGCCCTTAAAGAATGGTGTAGCAAACAAAACTAAACATTTCGCTTCAGCCCAAAGAAAAAAAAGAGACAAAAATGGCCATTAAGAACAGGAAATAAAATGTGATTAAAACAAGACAACAAATCAGCAGATTAAACAAGACAAAATGCAAATATATAAATAATAAATTGTCTGTCTAACACGTCTTAAATGGTTGGTTCAACAACAAAATTAAAATTTTGTCATCACATACTTCCATATGTCATTCCAGACCAGTATCACTTTCTTTTTCTGCAGAACACAAAAGAAACCAGATAGTTATGTGAAGACAAAACAGGCTTTTTAAAATCGTCTTCACAGTAGCTCTCAAAACTCATTTACAGTTGCAAATATTAAAACATTTTCTAAATATTTTTAAAATACGTTTCAATATTAATATATATATATATATATAATGCAGGTTTGTTGTATCAGGTTTGTTGTCATTGAATCCAATGTCACTGGTACAGTGGCAAGTTAAGAGTTAAGAGTAAACGATGGCAGAATTTGAATTTTTGTGTGAACTAGTCCTTTAATATCTTAATGAATTTAAATAAAATGTAACCTTTTAACTTCATTTTTAACTTAACCTTTAAAGTTGTAATAATTAATCTTGTTTTCAGGATGTTTAAATAGTACGGTATTACTTGTAAAACAAGATGTTAGAATTAGACTTACACTGTAAATGAATCAAAATATTATTACTTAATATCTATTTAATATTTTTACTTAATTTATTTTTATTTTATTTTATACATTTCAAAACCATTATATCATTATATGTCATAGTTCTATGTAATATTATATTATATAATATACAATATTTCATATTTTGTTAAATTGTAAATATGTTGTAAGGGTGTGCTTAGTGGATAATGAAGGAAATGAGAGAATATAAGAATATCATTGTTTTTCAAAATAGCTTTATATAAAACATTTTTGTGTCTGTCTCAATGAAAATGAAAATGACTGAATAAAATAAAACATCCACCAAATCCATAAATGTGACCCTGGGCCACCAAACCAGTCATAAGTAGCAGAGGTATATTTGTAGCAATAGCCAACAATACATTTTATGGGTCAAAATGATCGATTTTTCTTTTATGCCAAAAATCATTAGGATATTAAATAAAGATCATGTTCCATGAAGATATTTTGTACATTTCCTACCGTAAATATATCAAAACTTTTTTGATTAGTAATATGAATTGCTGCTAAGAACTTCATTTGGACAACTTTAAAGGCAATTTTGTCAATATTTTGATTTTTTTGTACCCTAAGATTCCAGATTTTAAAATAGTTGTATACCAAATATGGTCCTATCCTAACAAACCATACATCAATGGAAAGCTTATGTATAAATCTCAATTTTAAAAAATTGATGCTTATGACTGGTTTTGTGGTCCATGGTCACAAATGTAATGTAAATAATGTCAAGCACTAGCAAAGCACTGCACTGAGAAAAATACAAAAATATAGGCGATCCAACACCAGTCCTGTCTCCTGTCTCATATTTAAATCACACAAGTTAGATTTGAGCACTACGATGGAAGGCAAAGAAGGGTTAACTTTTACTTTTTGCGTGAATTAGTCTTTAATATCTAAATGAAGCTAACTGATCTTGTTTTAAGGATGCTAAGATATTATTACTGTTAAAAAATCATACAGTGGTAAATGAATTAAATCTGTGTGTATATCTATAGCCCTGGCCCTCACCAGTGAGGCCTATTTCAATGCTCTGTGTAAGATGGGTGAACAGGCCATGCAGAGCATGTCATCGCGTTTGCTGGGTAAGCTTTTATTTCCTCTTATCATTTCCTTTCCTTTCACACTTTTAAATTACAGCAGGACACGTTTCTGTCTTTTCATATTTTTCTGATTAATATGTACTTTCCATCACAGGGACAGAGCGGGAAAGAAAGAGAGTTATGTGTGTTTATTGAGGGTGATAAATTGGGAGGGAGCCAGTGCCCTTCACACACTCATATTGTACTTTGCTCTTGTAAATTCACCATGTTCCTCCTCGGATCTCTCTTACACACATGAGTGTGTTTGTGTGTGTGTGTGTGTGTGTGTGTGTGTGTGTGTTTATTTATAGCTGACATCTATCACCTTGTTGTGGTTTAATGGAAACATTTCATTAAATTTCAATGGTGCTTTTGTTGCTATGAATCATATTTTATGATCACAGAGAGATGGTATGACATATGACGTGGTATGATGTGTGTGTGTGTGTGTGCGCGCGCGTGAGTTTTGTAGTCAATATCAGATAACTGCACCTCCTCTGTGATGTTAAATAATAAATGATGACACAACGTCAGCTTGGCAGTGCAACCTTTCGAGGCTAATACTTGCACTTTAACACATGGACACTCAAGCAGAGACTGTAATGTTTGTTTTGCAGGTGATGTTTTGGTCCAGATCTCAGACAGTCAGAGGAGACTCACCAATGAGCTGGAGGGAGTGGTGCGTTACCGATCCTCCTCTATTGACCTATCATTCGATATCTTCTGCTCCTATGACGTTGTTGACATAATGCATGTTTGATTGTCTGTACGGCCAATCCCATGTTTAACGAGTCTGTGTGATTGATTCAGTTCCGCTGGTTCCACTCTGAGGTCCTTCGAGAGATGGACGACAATGTCAGACTAGATAAAGAATACATATTGGTGAGTTGTTTGGTATATTTTGCAAATGCAAACAAACAATGTACATTTTAAGAACAGAAAACATGCATAAACACCCGTTTTTCTTAAAAAATACAACTAAAATTAGGAGCAGAATTAATATTTACCTAATTAAAGATACCTAATCCTTCAGCCAACTCAGAACAAGGAACATTATCTGATTACAATGATTCTAAATATTGAAACTAAAATGATTGATGTTGATGTGGTTGT